TTTTTTTTAAGATTTAAGTTTAGATATACTATTTATATAAATTAGTATAGAGAATAGTTTAAATAGTAGTATGTAAGATTTAAAAAGCCTGATACAGACTTATAATTGTAACCATCTGATATAGATGAAAAATCCCACATTTAGTTTAGTTTTCTTGTTTTTTCCTTTTCCTCTTTCTTTTCTTTTATTTGTTTTTTTTATATATTTCTCTATATCTTTGTATTTGTTTTAAAAATTTTTCTTTTTCTTTCACTTCTCTACGAAAAGATATCATCAGATTAGTGATATCCTATTGTAGAGCAGTAGTCAGATGAGCCCTAGTTAGATATTATTTTAATTAATTATATCTCGCCAATGTGGCTAGGTTGCTTGTAGATACGTATAGGTAATTGGTTAGATTATGCGAAGCAACCACAGGATGTCAAATCTAGATATTTAATGTTATAATGTTTTCACAGATTCGGTTTTTATTAAATAAAGATACTGGCATGATCTGCCTAAGTAAAAAAAAAAATTTTAATAATCTATAAAAAAATTTTGTTATTTTTTTTTTGTTATTCATTTCATATCTCTTTTTTTTTGTATCTTTTTTTTATTAAAAAAGTTAGTATTTTTTTTGTTTTTTTTTTATTTTTTCTTATATTTATAATTAAAAAAATCTGCGATAATCTGAAACACACCAACTTCAACCACTTAACAAAAAAATAGTTTGTAATATTTTTTTTTCCTATTAGTAACTATTTTTGTTTCTTGGTTAATAACATTATTTTAACATTTTTTCTTTTTATGTCCAGTCCTCTTTTATATTTCAGACTATAAGATAAATTTTTATTTTATTTTATTTTTATTTTTTAAAACAAATTACTAACTTATTTCTTTTTTAATATAATTTAGTATCGATATCTAATAATTTTAATAATTTTTTTTGTTTTTTTTATATTTTAAAATATATATTTGTAAGTTAAATAAAATATATTTATTAATAAAATAATAATAATAATAATAATATTAATATTAGGTATGACATCTAGTGTAGAACTTAGTAATAAGCGGACTACTTAAATAGGCAACCAAAAGTTGTATGTATGACTAGTATGTACTCTCCAAATATGTATATGAGATGCTATAAATGCATATTGTAAAAAGTTAACTATAACCGAATAAAAGGAGCCGGCCAAGAGGCCACCTTAACATCAAAAAAAAAAAATAATATTAATATTAATATTAATAAATATTATTATATTAAATAAATAAACTTATAATTTATTTTTAATTAATAATAATTTTTTTCTTTGTTTATATATTGATTTGATATTCTTCTAGCGATGATATTATCGTTGATAATATTGCTACTAGAGCTGGATTCTAGTCTTGCATCAAATTGTTATAATAAACAATAAAAAAATATATGGTACAAACTATTGTCTTTCTTCTTTTCTCTTTCTCTTTGCACTATTTGTAATTAAATGATTTTGCAAATATCTTGTAGCTTATAAATTTGTAGCTTGTAAACAAGCTACAAATTAAATGCTACTCATTTTTGCAAAATCTTATAAAGTTAAAAAATAAAGTTAGAATAGTTCTTTTAAATTTTATTTTACAATTAATTAACCTCTCTAAAGCCCTCAATCTTGAAGACAACTGCAAAACAAAGTTTTGCAAGACACACTGCATAGTTGCTAAAGCAACTAAGTACACTATTCTCTCAAAACCTTTAACTTGTGATAAATATAGTAACTGTATTGTAAGATTTTACAAAACACCTTGTATTTATGAATTTGTAGCTTGTAAACAAGCCACAAATTAAATACTACTCAATTTTTGTGAAATTTCAAAAAAAGTTAAAATTAAATAAAATTTTGTAATTTAGCTTCAAAAAAATATAAAAAAAATTTATATAAATAAAAATTATTTTGTTTACTAAATTAAAAATAGAAGAAAATATAGCAAAACAAGAAACTATTGATATATTTAGACAATAAATTGAAGATTTAATCAAAAAAAATAATGAATTAAAAATAAAAATAAAGAAGCTAAACAACAAATTGAAGATTTAATCAAAGAAAATGATGAATTAAAAACAAAAAAATGAAGAAGCTAGATAACAAATTGAAGATTTAATCAAAGAAAATGATAAATTAAAAACAAAAAATGAAGAAGCTAGACAACAAATTGAAAATTTGATCAAAAAATGATGAATTAAAAATATTAATTGAAACAAATCGAAAATTAGAAAAAATAAATAAGGTACAAAATTTATTGTTAAGAGATGCTATAATAAAGCTAAGTTTTACAAGGCTAAAAATTTTCAAGAATTTGATAATTTTATTTATGAATATATTTTTGGTTTGTTAAATTAGATTTTAGATTTATTGGATTATATTAAATTTGAAGATTACTTTTTGAAAAATATTTTTATTTTTTTAAACTTAAAAAAAAGAATTATTAATAATTATTAGATTCAAATTATTTATAAAAAATTATTTGAGCAATTTTAGTTTTTCCTTATTTTTTTATTACAGAATACAGTATTTGAGTTAAAATTTTAGAATTAGTCTTTGTGAATATTATTACAATATATTTTCTTTATATTTAATTTTTTTGTCTTAATTGATGATTTTCCAGTGAACTGAATTATGTTCATAGTAAAACGTGACACAGTTCTATATATAAATTACTATAGGTGCAAAAATAAAAATTTTCTAGTAATTGTCTAAGGAATACTTTTTTTCATACTAAGTTAATTATCTTTGAATCTTTAAGTAAAGTTGTAGAGCTCATCAAGATAAATCTAATAGTAGTTAGATCATTCAAATTGGCCTAGTGAATACCAAGATATCTTTAAAAAACATTATGCTAACTATATATATCAGCAAAATATATAAACGTAAATTTACAAAAGATATTATGCCCTAAAATATTTCAAAATAATTACAATCGACGCAAAATATTTTAAAATTTTTAATTATGGAATATTACGTAATTTATTTCGAAATATTGCGAAAATTATTTTGAAATATTTCGCAAAAACTTACATAATACATATTACAAAATATTTCAAAATATATATAATATTATGAAATATTTCAAAAACATATATATATTAAAATTTGGTTATACAGGTTTATATAATAATTACACTATAACAATAATTTAAATCAAAAATAAATTTATTTAAATACATATTTATGCTATATACAAGTTTATTTTTAATAACTAATTTGCCAGTTTATTCTAACTTTATTTCAACTTCTAAACAAATCCTAATATTACAATGGCCAATAATAACAAAAAGCAGCAAATAAATACAATATACAAGAAACTCGCACACCAAAGAACACACAAAAACATGACAATATTCGTATAAACAAAATCGATTCCAAGATACTTCATTATTAAAGAAAAAAGGTAGTCCAACTGTTTACTTGAAGAGATATCTGAAAGAAAGAAAAGAGAGTTGTGGTAGTTAAATGTGTTCACAAATAGAGAAATAAGACTACCATAAGACTAGAAAGAAAGAAAACAATAATTTAGAAAACAAGCAATAACCACTAATTCTAGTAGGCACAAACCATTTTTTGCCTGAAGCATTACCTGGAAGAAAAAAGAGTAGTGGTAATCATATATATTTACAAATAGAGAAAGAAGAACCACCAACAAGAACAAATGAAAAAAAAACCATAATTCAAAAGAAAGAAACTCCATAATTCAGAAGAAAAAAGTCAAACAATAGCCACCAACTTTAGTAGAGCCAACTATTTACTTGAATGAAAGAAAGAAAAGTTGTAGTAGTCAAATGTGTTCACAAATAGAGAAATAAGACTATCACAAAACCAGAAGGAAAGAAAGCAATAATTCATAAGACAAGCACTAATCACCAATTCTAGTAGGTGCAAACCATTTATTGCCTGAAGCATTATCTAGAAGGAAAAAGAATAGTGGTAGTCATACATGTTTACAAATAACTACCAACAAGAACGGAAGAAAGAAAACCTATAATTCGGAAGAAAAAGAACAAACAATAGCTGCCAACCTTAGTAGAGCCAACCATTTACTTGAAGAGGTGCCTGAAAGAAAAAAGAGTTGTGGTAGTCAAACTTGTTCACAAATGGAAAAATAAGACTACCACAAGACCAGAAGGAAAGAAAGCAATAATTCAGAAGACAAGCACTAACTACCAATTCTAGTAGGTGCAAACCATTTGTGCTTGAAGCATTATCTGAAAGAAAGAAAAATGGTGGTAGTCATACATGTTTACAAATAGAGAAACAAGAACTACCAACAAGAATAGAAAAAGAAAACCCATAATTCAGAAAAAAAAAGACAAACAATAGCCACCAACTGTTTACTTGAAGAGATGTCTGAAAGAAAGAAGAGTTGTGGTAGTCAAACGTGTTCACAAATAAAAAAATAAGACTACCACAAGACCAGAAGAAAAGAAAGCAATAATTCAGAAGACAAGTACTAACCACCAATTCTAGTAGGTACAAACTATTTACTTAGAAGGAAGAAGAATAGTGGTAGTCATACACGTTTATAACTGGAAAAACAAGAACCACCAACAAGAACGGAAGAAAGAAAACCTATAATTCAGAAGAAAAAAGACAAACAATAGCTATCAACCTTAGTAGAGCCAACTGTTTATTTGAAGAGGTACCTGAAAGAAAGAAGAGTTGTGGTAGTCAAAATGTGTTCACAAATAGAAAAATAAGACTACCACAAGACTAGAAGAAAAGAAAGCAATAATTCAGAAGACAAGCAATAACCACCAATCCTAGTAAGCCCAAACTGTTCATTGTATGAAGTGTTATCTAGAAAAAAGAAGAATAGTGGTAGTCAAATATATTTACAAATGGAGAAACAAGAACCACCACAAGATCGGAAAAAAGAAAAACTATAATTCAGAAGAAAGAAAAATGCCAAACAATTACTATCAACCTTAGTAGAGCCAGCTATTAACTAAAAAGAAGAAAGAAAAGTTGTGATAGTCAAACATATTTACAAATAGAGAAATAAGACTACCACAAGCTAGAAGAAAAGAAAGCAATAATTCAGAAGACAAACAATAACCACCAATCCTAGTAAGCCTAAACTATTCGTTGCTTGAAGCGTTATCTGGAAGAAAGAAAAGTGGTAGTAGTTAAACATGTTTACAAATAAAGAAACAAAGACTACTGCAAAATCAGAAGAAAAGAAAGCAATATTTCAGAAAACAAGTAATAACTACCAATCAAAGTATACCTGAATCATTGTTTGAAGTATAATCTAGAATGAAGTAGTAGTCAAACGCATTTACAAATTGAGAAGTAAGAACAAAAGTAATAGTACTCACCAAGGACCAAAAAGAAAAAACTCTCTAATTCATAAAAGCGACAACCAATTCTAACTGTAATTCTGAAAGAAAAAAGAAAAGTAAATACTGTATATCTACATATATGTATTAACAATAAAAAATAATAAATAAATAAAACAAATAAATAAAATAAATAAATAAATAATAAAATTAAAACTAAAATAAAAAAAAAGTTAAAAAAAAAAAGAACAGTAAAAAAAATTTAAAAACAAAAGATTGAAAAATAAAAAGTTAAAAAAATTTAAAAAAAATTTTAAAAAAGATCAAAAAATAAAAAAAGTTAAACGAAAAAAAAAATTAAAAAATAAAAAGATCTAAACAAAGATCTAATCTTGTAATACCAGTGTTGGCACATAACCAAGTCATAACAGGTCATATTACTAAGTTCAATTAATAAAGTCATATGACCTCAGTTATATGACTTCAATAAATGAACTTAGTAATATGACCTGTTATAACCTTGTCATGTACTAATACTGTGTAATATAGCATCACAAAAGTCTATATATTTATATATAATTGTAATGTTACTTAACAATTTATATAAAAGTAGATTGCTTTTTGTGTAGTACAGTATTAGTGAAAGTCTGTAGAATGAATAAAATATTTGAGAAAAATTATATAAAGTAATTTTGTAAAAAAAAGTTCGTGATGAGTACATAATAAAGATTCTGCAAATCATACAATCGAAGATACGTATAAAATTACTGATGCCTAACCATAAACAATTAGGGGAGCACTATTTATCAGGTGATTAGGGTTTCACTAAGTGGCCAACCCCCTACCCCCCACCTGATAATTTTTCTGAGCATTTGATTAGTTAAAATTTAATAATTTATTGGCTGATTCATGAAATTGACAATAGCTTTTGATCTACTGGTCTTTTTGGGGTGATTTTACTGCCAAAATGTTCGTCTCAGTGAGAGGATTCTAACAAGCTCAAAATTGTTAAAATCCAATCACAGGATCCCGAGATCATTATGATTTTGTGTTATTTTATTAGTAATTTTTAAATTACAATTAAAAATATCTTTGATGTTGAATAATTTTTGATATACTAATCCGTTTTTGATGATTTTACTACCAAAATGTTTGTATCAGTGAGACGAACACTTTGGTGGTAAGATCATCAAAAACGGATCAGTATATCAAAAGTTATTTAATATCAAAGATATTTTTAATAGTAATCTACAAATTACTAATAAAATAACACAAAATCATAACAATCTCAGGATTCTGTGATTGGATTTTAACGATTTTGAGCTTGTTAGAATCCTCTCAATGAGATAAACATTTTGGCAGTAAAATCACTACAAATAGATCAGTATATCAAAAGTTATTACCAATTCTACAAATTAGCTAATATAAAA